TGTGTAGGACCTAGCCCATTGAAAAAATGAAAAATAAATTACGGCCAAGAATACAGTAGTAAATGCAATGAATGAACAAATGTAAAAATAAAAAGACAAACATCAGTTACTTGTACAAAGAATTGACCCAAGGTCCTCGCAGGCACAGCTTGTATTCAAAATGTATAATGCCCTACAAACTTGTTAGCATGGTCAGCCTTGTAACAATATATTTCATAATGACTTACAGTGTTACTACTAATGATGGTGACATCTATCTCCGTTTATCTCGTAACATCGTAGCCGTCTCGGAAAGGATTTTGCGCGCGACTGTACTGAGGAATTCAATTAAAATGCAATTACAGTAAGCTCTAGATTAATCTTGTTTAGAATATTATGTTACCACCAGGTTTTAGGATAACTTAAAGTTGTAAGTTACCTTTTTTAAATGAAAATATTAATATAACTAGCTGTTCCCATGGGGCTTCATCCGCGGGTATAAAAACTTCATTTTATCATTTACATTTGTCAATTTATCAATTGCAAATGTCAAAATGACATGTCATGATGACAATCTATGGTAAACTTGATTCCTTGATGTTGGCAGCGACTTATTGTCTCTTTTCCACATTAGGATTTTTATCCAATTTATTTACAAACTAAGTTTAATGGCGTTAAAATATACAGCGTAAAGCGTGACGCAAGTGTAGGGCTTTTTATTCAAAAAATAATTATTCAAAAATATGATGTAATTGCTAACATCTTAGGCAACAAAGAAGTGTATGTTTACGCTTTATTATAATAGTATAGATTATTGCCGGGCTACAAAATGGAACTTGCTAGCACTAGTACAAAGCATATTTGACTTATGGCTGGTTTTCCAACTACGTTTAACTATTCGTTAGTGTTTTTAGGTTCAAGAAATTTATCAAATGCGTTTCGGAACAACTTAACTAGAGTTTAATTTCGTTGAAACTTTACGTTAACCTTCCGGTAAGCTGACACTTATGAATCGCTAGGTAATAACAAAAAAGTGGAAGCTTCAGAAACCCAGCAATAATGATGTACTAAAGAAAAACGATATCATGACTGTAAACTAACATGTGTATAAAAAGATGTAATGTCGAAGAGTTGAATAAGAACCAGATGTTGATATTCTACACAAGCTTTTGTCTGCGACTCCGATCGCATGGAATTAAAATAACAAAAGCAAGTAGGCTGTGTTCTTCCATACTCTATATGTATGTAAAATTTCATAGAGATTCGTTCAGCATTTTAGTCTAAAAAAACAAATTAGTAAGATTGTATTCTTTTTAATTCAATATGAAATATTAAATATATCATTTCGAAGTGATTCGTACTTGATCCTTTGCCAAGTGTTTAATTTAATCTCGCGAAGGCAGATAAGTTTCGTTGGCGTTTGTTTTTTGCTGGATACAAATAAAATGGCGACGCGGAATGTAAATGCGCGATACTGAATAAGATTTATTTAAATACATATTTTTATTCCTATCTCAACGTGTCTTGAATTTTTATTATCTAGTTACGGGAGTCATTTTTGAAATAACATTAATATTTAAAATTACATTTGGGTTATATATGTAAGTATTCTTAAGTTTTTAGCGAAATAAATATGAAAACTCTAAGGGTCTGTCCCAATACTGGCTGATAGATGCTCAGATAGTTTAAAAATGACGTCACGTTCAGATAAGGTAACAAAATCCGATATTTCCATTACATGTTTTACACTTCGATTGTTATTAGACAGTTTATAATTTGGTGGGACAGGCCCTAACAGTACTAAAACTACGCATTATTTCATGACCTCGTTTTGTTAGTTATTTCCCAAACATTAATTTATATATTAGTAACAGTTGCCTGCGACTTCTCTCACATAACGTAGCTTTTTAATGGTAAAAGAATTTTTAAATCTGTCCAGTAGTTTTTGAGTTATTTCAATACAAACAAAAATACAAATCTTTCCTCTTTATAATATTAGTATAGATTTTTATGAAACCAATGTTTTTGATACATTGTGTAGGAATATACTTCTTGTCTCTCGACAATTCAAGTCACGTTATACAGATCTGTAACGTCCGAGGTCTTGCTTACAGCTTCGTAAGTTTTATGCACTATTAACTTATTCTTGTTCGAAAATCTTGTTGAAATTGTCTTGTGATTTATCATTTTTAAAGCATTATTTTAGAGAAAATGCAAATTGCACTTTTTCTTTTGGCGTAAAAATGACTTGGGTATGCATTCTGTGCATTAGGTATTTGCGGATGTTATGGAAACCCCTAAAAGATGCAACTACTTCCTCTGCCAATACTCCCCTGAAACCCCTGATAAGCAATAAGACGAATATCGGTCTTTGTGCACAATTTAACTGCATTTCTAACAGCAATTTGATCACGTCCCTGAACGTTTACCGCAGAAACTAATGATTCAAAATGGTCCCTAAACGTTGAAGTTTAAATTATATAATTTATATTTGTCCCTCTTCTTTGTCGTTGCAGTTTTTTTAGACGTCATTTATAGTGGCACACATTATATTAATAATATGCGAAAGTTTAGATAGATAGATGGATGTTTGTTAGAGTTTGTAGCTTAAACAGGTGAACAGATTTCGATGAAATTTGGCATAGATGTAGAGGATAGTCTGGAAGAACACATAGGCACAGTAACACATATTCACTTTTGTTTTTTTCAATTCCAGTCTAAGTCGCCGGCGAAAGCTAGTGACAGCTAGTGCACAGCACAACTGTTGTGCGATTGTCGATTGTTTCGCAGTCATTCAACTGTTTAGTTGCACAACTAAAAATCGAGTAGTGCATATATAATCTCATAGGAATCAAAGCGCACAATTTAGTCAAAGTGCTCTCTGAATATAATTAAATTAGATAAAGTTATCTTGCTGTAAAAATATCGTGTAATAATTTAGAAGTTGCTGATTCATTTTTTCACGGGACAAATAAAAAACTATTTCATCTAAGAGGCTTACAAGATTGTGGGCATAAATGCGTAAAAAATGCTACCGCGGGAAGTATGTCGGCAATTTGAGATGAAACCGACGACGAACGCAACAGCGCGGAAACGTATCCGCTCAACTATCATTTATAACAAAACAGTTTTTTTTTTCTTGAACTCAAAATATTAAAGTATCAATAATTCCAGTTTTTATTGATAGAAAGAAAAAAGATCTATGGATAAATATGGTGTCCTAGTATTGAAAAGGAGCATAAAACTGCCACAGAAACGAAGAGTGGTCTATAGATGACAGTAGCTCGATAAATCTTCATCACCAGCTCACTATACGTCCCCACAGAAGGGCTCGGAGCTTACCCTAAGATAGGGTGACTAGGCCATAGTCAGTCATGCTGATGCTGCACTGCGTTTTGGTTTACTTCACATATATCTTTGAATTTTTTTGTCGATATGTGCAGGTTTCCTCACATTGATTTCCTTTACCGAAAGAACGCCAAGTAAATTGAACATATGAAAATTCGTAAATCACATCGGTACAGCGGGATTCGAACCCAAGAACTGTAGATTGCAAGTCAAGTTAAACCACTGAGCCACCGACGCTTGATGGATAAATACATACTCATAATGTAGAATAATAAAAAATAATAAAAAACCATGAAAAATGACATAGTTCATTGTTATGTGTACGCTAAGGAAGTTCCTTAGTGTAGTTTTATCATACAAAAACTACAATAGGAGAAAAGACTTTGTAAATTATACGTAGGTACTAAACGTATACAATGACACAGAATTAAATAGTTACTTTATAGCTTAGATCGAATTCGAGTAGAAGTTTCAGTTACAAATTAAATTTGCATATCTTAATAGTTTTAGGAATATGCTAGTCTGGTAGTAAAATAATATTACGGTGTACATTACGTTACAATATTTCGGATAAGGGAAAAAGGGTTGCCAACTTGGATAGAGTTTGAAATAAATTGGGATTATTCCCAACCGTCACACCACTCTGTCCCCACGTGAGATAAAATTGATTCATCCGTCCCACCGTTTAATCCCACTATCACCAATAAGGTGACAGACGGAACAGTTATGTAATAAAATAAGTTTCAACCGTCACCTCGTCGCAAAAGGTGGGATGAATTAAACTTTTTACTCTCATCTGTCTACACGTGGGGACAGAGCGAGGTGATGGTTGGGAATAATCCATAAATTGTCTATACTAATATTATAAAGAGGAAAGATTTGTATTTTTGTATGTATTGGATTAATTCAAAAACTCCTGGGCCGATTTCAAAAATTCTTTCACTTAAAGCTACATTATCGACCTCATGACACGACATAGGCTATGTTTTTTTATTATTTATTTAAAGCAGAATAAAAGGTTATGTTTTAAGGTGAAAGTGGCGATAAAATATTTCATGTTTTTATAAAGTGTTTCTTGTTTGTCTATTTGTCTATAATTTATTAAAACTGTAGTTATAGATTCAGTATTTTTTTTTAATTCAGTAAAAGTCTTGTTTTAATATCTATGTATTGTAAGTTATTAATACATTTTCAAATTAGATCCTAAGACCTATTTAACTACAGCTGTCGTTTCTGTGTTGAAAGATTCCGTATTATTGGGAATCCTAAAAATAGTTCTCTTTGAAGATTTAATGATCGCACAAACAAATGAATTAATGAAAGGGTTCTAATGATTAATGCTTTATTTAAAATATCTTGGAATCTTCATTCGTAACACTTAAGTTTATTTGAGTTATTAGTGCTAAGTTGTTACTTAATGGCAAATCGATTTACAAGCTACGGAGTCAAGGTTTGATTTACCATTGTTATGTTTTTTATGCTTTAGTATAGATTTTTTGTATCCAAGTAGCTTATTTTTATTATTGTATAGAAATATATATTGTTTATGGCATACGGAATAAACATACATTTTTAATTATGATATGATTGCTTATCTTCCCTTAATTTAATGTAAAATTCAAATTACATAACTGATATAGATTTTCTTCTTTAATAATTCGTTTATTACAAACCTTACCACAATATTAATAAGAAAACAAGTCATAAATCACAAAAGCACATTTTTGTTTCACATATTTAACAACACTTATAAAAACATTAACAACAATTAAAAACAAAAAACATTAATTTCGCGCGCATTTCAAAAGTGACGTTTGTTATTTTCATTCCACGAGACAAGTCATGTTACGTGACAGAGCGGGAGAAGTTCCCGCGTCGCGTTCCGATCGCTGACTGAAGCGACCGCGTGCTTTTGCCTTTGTCCGTCCAATGTTGGTCATTTTGGTTCCCCTATCGATGATGTATATCTTGATAATAACCGTCACAATGGGGTCAGGGTTTAACAAATCAGTGGCGAAAATTTACTGTTCTCGGGTAAAAGACTAACCTTTTCCCACGTTTTTTATACCTTTTGCACGACTGGCAGAACACTACTAATGTTTCTTTACACAATGTAATGAACATTGTAACTTCTTATAATTATAATTCTTATAACTTCTTGAGGAACAGTTAGTTGCATGTTAAATCTTATTATTTCCAACAGAGTTTAAAAATCATAAATAGAATAGAGTCAGGGGTCAATAATTTTCACGGATAGTAGTCAATAAAGATTATATTTAATTATTACAATTTTTTCGTGTAAAAATAACTGTAAATAAAATATATTTCGGTCATTTAAAAACTGTCAACCTGGTTTAAAATACATCGCATTTAAAGCGCATATTTTATTTGACCAAACGACTTGTAATAAATAAGTGACGTCACTAAATTGTACAGCTGAAAATAATTTATGATATACGATTTGTGTGTTTTTCAATATACATAGATATATTCAATTAGACCTAACTGTTCAATGTGGAAACACTATTTCTAACACGTATTGTCATCATATATACACTATACTAATATTGTTTGGATTTTTGTATATATTGAAATAACTAAAAAACTACTGTATTAATTTTAAAAATTATTTCACCAATAAAAAACAACAATTGCTAAGTAACATAAGGCTACTTTTATAACTAATACATTTTTTTCATATCACGTGGATGGGGTCACGAGCAACAGCTAGTTCTCTATAAACAAACTGAAATAGAGATACTTTTTATACAGACGTTGCAACAATTTGATGTCACAGTTAAACTACATTTTTTCTTATTGTAATTAAAAGTTTCTAGACATTGGTTTCTGTACAGTTTGAGCCCTTCGCGGTGCTCCACTCACAGAAAAATTGTCTCGTCCTTGCAACAAGGCAAACTCCGCTCCTTGTTACCAATAACCAATTATATAGCAGTGAGTTGCGCAAACGACGGAATAATAAAAGAAATTAGCCGTGGACCACCGACCAACATTTTATGTACAATTTTAATGCTGCGTCCTATTGGTTTTTGTTCCGCGTCGTCTTCAAAAAGTAGAAAAAGTTAAAACGCTAGTTTTTGAAAATCGAACACCATCAAATTCCCTAACAGTACATTCTCGATTGCTACTCAATTTGTTGACTTTGTAAAACAATGTAGGTTACAAACGTTATATTGAAAACAGTCATACTCCGGCAATACCATTGTACCAACATAGAAAAAAATACGAAGGTAAATAGCAACATTTGAAATCCCAACAAGGTGCATTAATTAAAATATTTGCAAGAAAAAACTGCAAAGCGCTAGCCTGCATAGATTTTATGAAAGAAAAATTAACTAATGAACATTTCTAGGCGTAGAGGCATTTCTATATTTATGAATTTCATGGCCTCAATTTTAAAAACACTCTACAATATTCATTTCCTTAGAATTTCTTACGTGAATACATTTGCCCTATTTACTTGGCCTTTTTCAATAAAATTAGACGTATCGTTTCTAGTGAAAACCTAAAATAGTAGACACTAGATATTATGGAAACAAACTTAACACTTATAGCCTGTCCCACCACTGGCTGATAGACGGTCAGATAGCTTAAAAATGACGTCACTGTCCGATAAAGTAACAAAATCCGATCTTTCCATCACATATTTTGAACGTTGGATTGTTATCAGACAATTTACAATTTGGTGGGACAGGCCCTTAGACATCACTACGGATATTAAAATACTGGTTTATTAATTTTTAACAAAAAAAGTAGTGTAACTAACAATAGTTAGTAATTTCGAACGATTTAATTACACTATTATCGACATTTCAAAACTACGAATAAACGATGCTATAAAAATCATAAAATGTGAGCAGTAAAGTTAAATTTACTAGCATTTTTTTCTTATTTATCAAAACCATTGTTGTATATTCGTGTAACTCAGATTTAGAGAAATAATAATCATAATTTGGCAATTTGAAAATTACAGAAATTAATTTAAAAATATATCTACAGACGCTCAATTCTAACTGACAGTTTTAGTTGAAGAGTCTGACTTTTCAATTAATCTGTGCGTGGATATGAAAAAAATAAAAAAGTTCAACTGATTATTTACAACTCGTCTTTAGCGGGCTTGAGGTATCATAGGCGTAGTTGAATTTAGTTTTTTTAATTAACAAGCATTGTTGTTGTTTAAATATTTCGACAGTGTAAACGCAAAGTGAACAATACATTTGATGTGCTGCTTTTAGCGATACTTCTTAAAATGCCATCTTCTTTCGAAGTTAGGCGATCTTTCGGGCGACTTGTATTCGTGATACCGCGTCTCTGAAAAGTGAACGTGTGCTCTTTCCAAACCACTGGCGTAGGAATGAGCCAGGACGTTCTTCGACCTACACTTCGCTTTCCGTGTATCTTGCATTGTAGAATGAGCTACAGTTGTTAGGTTAGAGATACGTTTAATTTTAGATCTAATCTGGCATTGCATTGTGAAGTTTTCGTGGGCGTCAGCCGCAGGTGTGCACTAAACACACAACGTAAATTATTTCTAACATAATTCTGTTCCATTGATGCTATTATTATGTTGACTGATATATTAAAATACTTATTTGAAAAGAAATTCTATTAACAGTTTTGTTATATCTCAGTACCCAGTATTCAAAGCTGAGCGTGAACCCAATCCGGTCACCATCACTTTTTTTTATTTAAATACATTTTTTCCCACTTAATTACTGTCAAGGAATACATTTTATTTTATTTGATTTTGTATTTTATATTAACGTATTGAAAATTCCTAATAGCACTTTTATATAAATTGGACAAAGTTATTTATTGTATAATAAATTAGACATTGACAAATGTCTTAAGTGTACTTTGTAAAACACATTATACCTTATTCTAAACACAATTTCTTTTTAACTTTTACTTAATTACCAAACTACACGCGTCTTCAGTTAGCTTAGGTGGAGTCGTGGTCAAGCGCTGGTTTATTTATGTTAAAAAAATAACCAATAGTAAGTATATATTTGGCTTTAGTTTAGCATTTTTATTTTTAGTATTTAGCTTTGCAATGTTACTAGCAGCCAGTTTATTTTGCAACATTTGTGTTATAAATATAACTACTAAGATTATTGCAAAATAATACTGGCAACTAACAACACTATTCATAAATAAACAGGTGTCTAGACACAGTCTTTACTGTCGTAGCACGATTCACAATAATATTCTTATCCCTTTTATTCTCTCTAATAAAATAGAGACAACAATAGTCATCTTAAATCTTACTTCTTACTTCTTACTAATATTATAAATGTGAAAGTTTAGATGGATGAATGGATGTTTGTTAGAGTTTGTAGCCTAAACGGCTGAATGGATTATTATTGTCGTAAATATAGAAGATAGTTAGGAAGAAAACATAGGCTATTCACTTTTGTTCTTTTCAATTCCACGTTATACTATTTGAAATTCGAATTTTTCACTTCGAATTTCAATTTTGCATTATCCAAACTATATAACACCGTATATCTTATGATATATAAAATTGTGTACTTTTATTGGCACCGCCATAAAATACATCGTAAATCCAAAGGAAAAACCTTTGGGGAGATAGTAATATATGTATTAAATAAGATATATGGGTAAGAAATACATTATCTTACAAAGCATTACGTAATAAATTTCCTTAGCAACAAACTCGATCAACATTTTATACCAACGCTAGTGAGTTACACTAAAAACTCTTTGTCTATACTAATATTATAAAGAGGAAAGATTTTTGCATGTATTGAAATAACTCAAAAACTACTGGGCCGATTTTAAAGATTTTTTCACCGTTACGAAGGTAATTTATCTACGAGTAATATAAGATATATATTATTATTACTAATGTTTATTAACTATTATTAAACAACATATTTCTGGACTACTGCGTTAAAAATCACATTATATTAACTTTTCTCGGTTTACGCTGCTTAAACCGTTAAAGATATATAAAAATGATGTGTGAAAGAATTGTAGATTTCAAAAAATTCTACAGAAAAGTCCGCGTTAGCATATATCTTTAGCAGATTTCTTACAATAACCACTTTTCTGTTAACAAAATGAATTGAAAACCGCACGCTATTTGGGGCGTTCTTTTATTGGTTTCAATATTAATCCTTATCCAAATGTGTTCTCAGGAGAAATTAATGTACAACAAAATTGTCCTTGACAATATTTAAATTGGACTAATAGTTTAGAATATATCGCGAACAAACAATAAGGGTAACCGAAAAATCAGCTTACAAGCTACCGGGCTTAAAAATTTGGAATCATGCATCAGTAGATTTCTGTTATTACGTAGATTACTACAAGGTAATATTTTTGGTAATAGGTTCCAAAAAGGGGCGAACGTAAGTTATGAATTTTCAAATTTAACGCGGACGAAGTCGCGGTCAACTGCTATAATAACAATAACACACATGTTATTACTATAAAGCAAAACTTTTCCCTAAATACTATATCCTTTGAGAGATGAAGCGTGTTTTCTCTTTATATAAACCGGAGTTAGGGACCGTTAATGTCCCCGCAGGCGACAGCGTGTCTACTTACATTATGTATTGTGTTTAGCGACATTTATTTGGTGTGTAACATCATAAAACACTTTTTCCAATAACAATGTTTTACCTTTTGTATTAAATGTAAATAGTATTGTATTGTAAAGTCATATAAAATAGGCGATAAATACGATACACTTTAGATAACGTATGTTTTTTGCTAAAGTACAAATAATGGTACTTCTCTTTAATTGAAATTGCAAATGTCAAAATACCAATTACCTTACTATGGCAATCTTGCTTCCTCGATGTTGGCAGCTACTTATGGTCTCTTTCCCACATTATGGTTTTTATCCAGAATATTTACCCCCTAAGTTTAATGGCGTTAAAATATATTGCCTAAAGCGTGACGCAAGTAGAGGGCTATTTATTAAAAAAAGGATTATTTAAAAATATGCTGCAATTGCTGACATCTTAGGCAACAAAGAAATGTGTGTTTACGCTTTATTATAATAGTATAGATGTTAGAGTTTACACGGGAGGAATGGATGGATGGAGGGATGTTTGTTAATCTCTGTGTGACACAGATATAGAACATAGTCTGGAAAAACATATAGGCTATTAATTATTTTTTCATATAACACCTATTAAATAGACATATGGCTAAATATTAAGATATGAGTAGGAACTAAAAGGTAATAATTATTCAGTATTTATTACTAAATTAAATTTAAAACAGTATCATTGAAAATATCAAAAAGATTCTACATTTGTCATCTATAGTTACGCCATCTTTAAAATTTTTTTTGGAATACAGTAGCGGAGTTAACGCCATCTATGTTCAGAATATTTTAGGCTTTCAGCTGTTAACGTGAATGAGTTTCATGACGACTCGGACTACGAGATGGCGCTTTACAAAAAAAACATTGGAAAAGATTTTATGAGCCTTATACGTAAGTAATTCAAAATGTTTTTGGATTTTAAAATATTTAAATAAGAATAAGGTGAATAATTTATATTAGATTACCTAAAGTTTTATGGCGACGTAGGGCTGAACAGGTATTAAATTAACAACCACACTTTGGTCAAATTGACAACCCTGAATAATAGTAGTAAAAATGTTTTATTGTTACTTAGGGCGGCCATACATGTACTACATAAACATGTAAAGACTGCTTCAAAAGATATGCTTATTATGAGGACCAAATTACGGTTCTTTTTTGCGAATGCCAATTTTTTCCCAATCGTTAGACCGCACGCACTTTGACTAAACTACTGCAAAACTCTTTAGTCGGGCATTGATTCCTATGACTTTTAAGGTGCACACACTACTTGATGTTAAGTTGTCCAATTAAACAGTTGCATTGGCTTCGAAACAATCGACAATCGCACAACTGTTGAGCGAGAGTTTAGTCAAATATGTGCGCCCGCTAACGACTGCTTGTAGAATTTATATGGCAACCCTTAAGCTTGCGTGTCTCCGCTTCGGTTCAGCCTCTAAAAACGAATGTGAAAGGAAATAAAATATTTTATTACAAATTAAAATCCGTTAACGGTTTTTGGCATGACTGTACAAGTATTTGTTTGTGCTTTCTTTGTTCTTGTTATTACGTTCTCTTATCTAGTGTACTAAAGTTTTGTTAATGCATAACCTTTATCGAAAATTTCCTTGAATTAAAATTAACTTTATAGTTTGTCTAAATAAGATAGATTAGTTTGATAAATGACCCATATGAAGTATCGAATTCAATTTGTATGACGGCAAATGGCGTACTTAATAGACAGGTATCGTAGTGACGAGACAAACACGCATAGCAAACAATTATGAACTATCGATATTCGGTTTAAATATTTATCGAAAATTATTATTTTCTTATTAACTAATTTAGAGGGCAATTTTAGTTTTGATTATAGTGTAGAGAATTTAGCGATGACAATAATAATAGTGAAATCCAATTCGATTACGTACGGCTGTAGTAGTAATAAACATTTATTTGCTCTCATTATTTGTAATAGTTCTGCAGGTAATTATTAATTTGAGAAAACAGTGTCTTTTTTTCAATACATAAGTTTTAACTACGAATCTATCGATTCCAATTTCTATAAGAATAAAAATCGAAAATCGATAAGATTGATGACTGATTTACACAACCATCCCTAATAAATTTGAAGTGAATTGTCAAACTAATCTAAATTATTTAGACACACTACAGTATATGATTTGGGGCATGGTTTAATACACTTTTTAATGTCGCGCTGTTGGAAAATTTCTCAAACATTAATCAGGGACTTGATATATCGGAGCTGTGGTTCTTTTTTATAGAACGGTTCGAAATATTGTGGTTTTATGATTGTTTGGGTAGGATAAGGTATATTGGTCAAGTATTTTTTTACTTCCACATAAGTTTTAAATTGCCACTAAGGAAGAAAGTCCTTTATTGAAAATTGTACAAAGAAAAGCTTGTCTCTGGCAATCTAAACAAAAGAGGGATGTCAGAAGTGGGATTCGAACCCACGCCCACAGAAGTGGACTGCGACCTGAACGCAGCGCCTTAGACCGCTCGGCCATCCTGACATGCATAACTGCAGTGAAATAGAGAATTAATTCCAATAATAACTACATTTAGTAGTTAAATATCACATTGATCATATTTCCCCACACTCCCCTGTCACTTTACTGTCCCATTTAACTTTGCGGTTATAAACAATTATATAAACGAGCAGTTATCGTTCGTTTGCGCATAACTTTTGTGATTACCGCTTGCGAAGTATCCATCGCTGACTACGCAGTGAAAATGTCCGCTGACTACGCTACTAATCCCGCAGTGAACACTTTGCGGGATTATCTCCGTATCCGCAGCGTTCATCCCGACGTCAATTACGGTAAATTACATATTGTTTTAACATCATAATAAAGGACAGATATTTGTTTAAACGTTTACGATTATTTTGTATCTCTAGATAGCTTTACACTGAACAAGTAGGATAATTCATTTTAATTTTATAATAACAGATGAATGCTTGACGTTTCTAAGAAGTCAAGCGGCTGCTATCGGTCTACCAGTTCAGGTATTCGAAGTAGTGCCGAAGAAACCAGTACTAGTGATGACGTGGGAAGGTCTACAACCGGAGCTATGCAGTGTCCTGCTTAATTCGCATATGGACGTCGTGCCCGTGTTTGAGGTAGATTGACGGTTTAGAAGGCAAATATAAAATGGTTGGAATATTAAACCGGCAATGTAAGGCAAGATATCAATTGTTTGTTTTTCTAGAAAAGTTGGAAGCACCCGCCTTTCGCTGGTGAGATAGTGGATGGTGTGATCTACGGTCGCGGTGTACAGGATATGAAGTCAATCGCTGTGCAGTATTTAGAAGCTGTGAGGCGATTGAAGAACAAAGGGATGCGTTTCAAGAGGACGGTCCATCTCAGCTTTGTGCCTGGTTAGTATACGCTAGTAAGGCCATTGCTACTACATTTAAAACTTTTTACTTCCTTACTACTTAAATGATATTGCATAGACTAAGAGCGTGGGCACACCCAAAACTAAACTATCGCATAACTATTTAGTCTAGCTTTGATTCCTATGAGCTTATATGGAGGTGCGAACACTACTCGATTTTTAGTTGTGCAACGAAACAGTTGAATTGGCTGCGATACAATCGACAGTTGTACAACAGTTGTGCGATTGTTTAGTCAAAGTTGTGCGCCCACTCTAAAAGAGCTCTAGAAGAGGTATCTTTTGATTACTATTCTTGTCCGAAGTGTAACAGATTTTTTTCGATTTGGTTTTCGCTATAAAGGTAGTTTCTGTTCTGTTTTTTTAATATACATAATGCTATCAGGATGTAATGAAGGTCTCCAGATTTATTGGCTGAGCGCCTAACCGCTCGAAGCGCCACTCATTAAGGAGTCTTGACAACTGCTTCAAATATTCGTAATAAATTTTATAGAAATGAATATAAAAATATCTAGTTAGTTGCCTGCTAATTTTGCCAGCTAAGTTTTTGATATGGAGAACTACACGAATGAAATTATATACGACACGTAGACTCAATTAATGGTTACTTAAATATTTCCTATGTGCGGCAGTTAAAGGACGTTTCACGTTGGACCATATGGGCCAATTGAAAAAATTCTAGTTGACGTCACTATTAATTTTGTTTTCAATACAGATGAAGAAGTAGGTGGCGCTAAAGGTATGGCAGAGTTCGTAAAGACTGACCACTACAAGAATCTGAGGGTTGGTTTTGCTCTGGATGAGGGGATTGCTTGCTCTACCGAGGAGTACCAGGTCTTCAATGGAGAGAGGACTATTTGGCGTAAGATTGTTTAACACTATTGTAAGAATTAAACCTTAAACTTTTTAAATTGATGAGTTGTCATAATAAAAATTAATACAAGAGAATGCAAAATGAGGCTCTAATTGCTGGAAAAGTACATTAATTAGGAAATATTAGCCTAGTATTTTTGAAAATTTATTTTGGTAGTATCGTTCCTAATTTGGTTTTGATTTTTTTAGTACACTTTCTGACGTTTTAAGTTAAATTAATCTACTACAGACTACACAGTAATCCTGTAACATAAGTAATTACCTAATTATTACATACTTAAGTATAACGATTAAGATATTAAGGTAACTTATAGTCCTAGCTTACCGCAGGCTGTGATGTCATTATGTTTCCAGTCGCTAAGCTAGGATTAACAAAATGGTTTATGTAATGTCCTTTTTAAAATATCATCGCCCTTATTTAGAGCAGTTAAACACGACAAGGGTTGCCAAATGCTCGAACTTTTAAAAAGGTAAAAAAAATATTTATTTTACAGACTTAAATGTTATCTGTCCGGGTAAATCGGGCCACGGATCTTTGCTACTACCGGATACGTGTGGTGAAAAGGTATTTTCATATAATAATAATAAAACTTAATATCGAGGAAATCTCGTATTACATTGTCATATATAGTTAATTTCTAATTAACAATAACGTTGTAAATAACAATTATATTGGCAGAGCCCGCTTTAACATCTTCTCGCGAATGTACAGGCTCGCTACACGCAATACCATGACCAGAAAAGACAGGCTTCAAGTGGATGAAATTCTGTAGTTTGTCTGATGAGTAAACGCGCAGGAGGCCTTAAGTCCATTTCGTTTTCTTATAAAGAAAAGATGAATAGGGGAAGTCGCTATTTAGCCTTATTCCGATGGCTAGTTGCTCATTTCTCACTTTATACTATAAAAATTATAATATTACTTTTACGCTACCATTTTTTACATAAGATAATAGTATACCAATTCTATAGGGTTCATCGTTTTGTTTTAGACATGAATATGCTGTTCATACATCAATTTTAGCTGATAGAGTGACAAAAAGACGATATGACATAGTTTGCTCGTATATCTATCCAATAAACTTGCTCGCTTGCGTCCTAATTACTATAAAAAATTGTGATCGAGTGACGGAATATCTCGTTAACATTAATTAGTTAACAGTCGACTTCGTTATTCAAAAGTCCTTCAAATAAATTAATGAATAAAATCATAATTTGTCAACAGTAAGCTTCAGATATTATAAAATGATTTATCACATTTTTTTTTAATAAAGAATTCTTTACATAGTATCACGTAGATTCTTGAAATTGTAGTTATTTATATTTTTTTAATTGGAGGTTAAAACATAATGGATTAAAAGTATTTATAACCAGCTGTTGCTCGCAACTTCGCCCACGTGAAATTAAAAATATAGCCTATACTTCTCAGTGATAACATATCTTTTTAACGGTGCAAGAATTTTTCAAATCGGTCCAGGCGCAAGTTCGGCCCCATATGGAGTACTGCTCGCACCTCTGGGCGGGAGCACCCCAATGCCAGCTTCTTCCATTTGACCGCATACAACGGAGAGCGACTCGAATCGTCAACGGCCGAGCTCTTACCGATCGGCTAGATCCTCTGGCCTTGCGGAGGGACGTCAGTTCCCTCTGCATTTTTTACCGTATTTACCACGGGGAGTGTTCCGAGGAGTTGTTTGGAACGATTCCTGCCGCCGAGTTTCGTCATCGGACGACACGACAGACCGCCAGGTACCATCCTCACCATGTTGATGGCTGGCATTCCACAACCGTGCGGTTTTCGCGGAACTTTATGCCTCGCACAGCCGCGTTGTGGAACGGTCTGTCCTCGGCGGTATTTCCAAACCAATACGACTTAGGGTCCTTCAAGAAGCGAGCCTACAATTTCCTCAAAGGCCGGCAACGCATCTGTAGTTCCTCTGGTGTTGCGGATGTCCATGGGCGTCGTTGACCACCTTTGTGTTCCCGCCGCTCGTTTGCCCCCTTCTCTTATATAAAAAAAAGTACTTTTTGAGTCATTCAATACATACAAATCTTTCCTATTTTATAATCTATACTTCTATACTATTATAATAAAGCGTAAACAAACTTCTTCGTTGCCTAATTTGTCAGCACTTACAGCATATTTTTGAATAATTACCTTTTTAATAAAAAAGCCCTACACTTACGTCACGCTTTAGGCTATACACTTTCACACCATTAAACTTAAGGGGTAAATATTTTGGATAAAAACCCTAATGTGGGAAAGGGACCATAAGTTGAGGCCAACATCAAGGACGCAAGATTGCCAAGTTTTGTCATGTCATATCATTTTGACATTTGCAATTGACAATTTGACAAATATAAACAATAAAATAATTTTATGCTGATAAAATCGCACCGAAACTGTATAGATAGTGTGTTTTTTAACAATTTCAAAATACTAGTAGTAAATATAATAGCTAATTTATTAGAACACTTTATCATATTGTGCTTTTTACAGTCTTTATAATATTAATAGAGATTCACCTTTAAATTTCGGTCTCTACATAGTTAATTTACTTTATAATATGCCACCTGTTACTTGTCATTTAATTTAAATATTGTAATAATTCAAGGTGTTAGTGTGTCTGTAAGCGCGAGTGTTGCCAACTGAATGTTCCCTCGTCTGGAAATAGCTACTTTATTTATCGGTACAATGTTTATAAACATATCCGCATGTTGGTAGCTTCAGAATAATCTATATCTATACTTATATTATAAAGAGAAAAGATTTGTATTTTTGTATGTATTAAAATAACTCAAAAACTACTGGGCCGATTTTAAAAATTCTTTCACCATTAGAAAGGAAATTTATCTGTGAGTAACATAGGCTATATTTTATTATTACTAATGTTGAGGAACTATTAATAAACTACATATTTTTGGACCACGGCGTTAAGAATTCTCAATGTTTTAACTTTTCTCGGCTTACGCTGCCTAAACCGTTAGAGATATATAAAAATGATGTATGAAAGAATTGTAGATTTCAAAAAGTTCTACAGAAATTCCGCGATGACATATATCCATAACAAATATTTACAATATTAATGCTGTAACAAAAAACTTTGTTTAATCCTATTTCAATATTAGGTTTTTTTACTCATTTGGATAGGTGACTTTTTGGTTAAATTTATCTCTAAATCTAAAGCAAAATTATGAATTTAAGTGACATTTAAACATTGGTGAAAGTTTAATTATTACATATAATTGTTTTAACTACTTGGGCATTGAGAAATAGAGCTATTTTAAATATACCGGATAATGATAGTAGTAAATACCAAGGAATTGTAAAGAGCTAATGAATTATTACCTTTCTAGATTCGATACATTATAGACAAGTTCATGGATCTACGGCAGGTGTCGAAATCTAGACTGGAAAATGATCCAATGCTTACCATTGGTGACGTCACTTCTATCAACTTAACAATGATCAGTGTGAGTATATTTAGCGAGAAACAAATAACTAACGTTTCTAATTGTAGAATGCATGTACAGGAATGTATTGTCGTCCATTTCTTCTTCTTTGGACAAACAGGGACAACGATATTTAGTACAGGCGCGAACACGGATGCAATGTGTAGTTAGTAGTACATTTGTATTGTTTCCAGGGTGGTATTCAAGATAATATAGTGCCAGAAAAGATGAGGGCGACATTCGATATCCGTCTCGCAACGTCTGAGGATCTAGAGGCATTTGAAAATAAGGTAAGTACTCAACACATCTTACTAATCATACTTCATACTAATATTATAAATGGATGGATGGATGGATGGATGAATGAATGAATGAATGAATGAATGTTTGTTAGAGTTTGTAGTCTAAGCGACTGAACAGATTTCGATGAAATTTGGTAAAGACGTAGAGCATAATTTGGAAGAACACATAGGCTACTCAATTTTGTTTTTTTTAATTAAAAAAAACTGGGCGAAAACAAGTAGCTTATAATCCATTCTTTTGTGCTTTTATAAGGAACTAGCTGTGGCTGGCGATTTCGAACGCGTGAAATTAAGAAATATAGCCTATGTTACTCACAGATAAAGTACCTTTCTGGTGGTGAAAAAATTTTTAAAATCGGCCCAGTAGTTTTTGAGTTATTTCAATGCATCCAAAAATACAAATCTTTCCTCTTTATAATATTAGTATAGATGTGTGATGTATGAATATTTTTCAGATAAAGCAATGGTGCAGGGAGGCCGGTGCTGGTGTGACGTACAACTTCAACCAGAAGGACCCGTACGTGCCGCCCACTGCTGTCGATACAACTAACCCATACTGGATTGCGTTCAAATCATCCGCTGATAAACTGTGAGTTAATTAAATTAAGAGCCTGTCCCACCATTCTTGTAAATTGTCAGATAACCATCCAACGCATAAAATATGTGATGGAAATATCGGATTTTGGTACTCTATCGCTATCTGAGCCTCTATGCGCCAGTGGTGGGACAAGGCCAAAAACAATTACGTCTTATCAATAGCATAAATTTTAACCAATACCACAAGCAAAATTATTGTTTCATACTTCATAACTTCGCTTTTAATGTCATTCATAAGCCTCTTAACTATATATTCCAGTGGTATAAAGCTCGCTGTGCGTACATTCCCCGGCGGCACCGACAGTCGCTATATCCGCGCGACTGGCACGCCGGCTTTAGGGTTCACGCCCACACACCTCACACCCTCCTCCTTGCACGAGCACGACGAGAACTTGCCAGTGGAACAGTTCCTCAGAGGTATAGAGATATACGAAGAGATACTGCCAGCTGTCGCTAATGTATAATCTATACTTGATCTGTGTGTGAAAAATAAAATGGATGCATTTATTTCATGTTTAATTTGGTTTCCCTGTTACATTTAACCATTTGTTAGTGTTTTTGTTTCGTTAATGGAAAATGTCGAATGAAGGGTTAATAGTACCATGTGACTTAACTAGATAAAACTACACTAAATATCTAGCTTTTAAATTATTTTTGCTACATTCAAACACGCTGAAGTGGACATTATTATTTGCATATACGAGTGAAGCGCTTCAAAGCGCTTACGTTAATATTTAACATTTAAATCTCACTAAAACATACAGCAAATACCAAAGCAACGTAATTGTATTTCCGCAGAATATTCTGTTATATTATAGTGTAAAATCTTACAGTATTTATTAACGAAGTTAATCTTTTTAAGGGTTTATTTATTTAATATTTAATTAGGGTTGAAATAATTAGAGTCACGTTAGTAAACGCTACATAATTGCACTTAATTGGTGTTTTTAAGTGCAAACTAACGATTATAACGGCCGCATTTAAATTACTGGTTACTAAAATTAAAAAAAAATACTGGTTTGAAATATATATGAGTACCATATCTATAGCTATACTAATATTATGAAGAGGAAAGATTTGGATTTTTGGGTTTCTGTATGGAAATAACTCAAAAACTACCGGGCCGATTTTAAAAATTCTTTCACCGTTAGAAAGGTAATTTATCTGTGAGTAACATAGGCTATATTTTTCAATTTCACGAGCGAAGTCGCGAGCAATAGCTACCTTACTATAAAATGCTAGTTAATATCAAGAAAATTTATAATCAATTCCAATTCAGTATCCTAGCCATTAAGTTTAAATAAGTATCGAAGAAGATTTCTTCCTAAGAATAAACCTAAAGCGTTTCTTACAGATAACATAAACATTCTCCCTGATATAGTAGTAGGTAATCTGAACACGTATCCCTAACTTACGGCACGTTTCTTGTAAAACTTAGTAACTTACTTTGAGATAAAACTATTTATCTTAATCAAGTAACCTTCTTTTATAAAAACTGTGTTACATTTATGTGTAAATCTGACTAATCAATATTCTTAATAAAATACCTGAAGTTAAAGCATTTTTTATAACCTGTGGGACATGTCAGGATGGCCGAGCGGTCTAAGGCGCTGCGTTCAGGTCGCAGTCCACTTCTGTGGGCGTGGGTTCGAATCCCACTTCTGACAAGATTTATTTTGTTAATTATAATGGATTTTTTTTAATTACCTATGACTGAATCTCGCCACTTTTTGGTAACTTTAGGGAACTCTGAGTGAAATCTACACTAAGGGACTATTTAATTAACCATTAACATATTCTATACGGCAGTGAAATTGTTACTAATTTTCGTTGTAAACTTAGTCTAGTTATTATCTTGCTGTGAGAAAAAAAAAATATAGACTTAGTTAATAGTTTACTAGCAGCGGGTTTCTTTGTTATTATATCTGAAACTCTGAATAGATCTGTGCCGTTGTGGTGTCGTTAGTAAAATTGGAATTCATTCAGCCTTTGTGAACGGCTTGCGTTGAATAAAACATCGCTACGGATTGCTACGGTCTCTACGAGCGATTTGCGTTTGTAAAGCAATCGGTATACGAACGGTTCATATGTCGGTCAATACTTTTTACTCTATTTCAATGACTATCAGAAGCTAACGTATATTGACATATTGACTTGATAGAAAGAGTAGGGAAAATCCGCGTTGTTCCACTTCAGGAATCAGCCTCGTTATTTGCAATGAGACAAACTCCGCCTCTTCCTTAAATAACTAGATAGAAAGGTAATATGTTACTCACGGATACATTTTTTTTAAATTTCACGCTTGCGAAGTCGCGAGCAACAGCTAGAAGTAAGATATTTTTATAATTAGATGATACAGCATTGAAAAATACATACTTAACATAGAAATTTTAACATTACCTTGCATTCATTAGTATACGAAATATCGTGTTCATTGTCAATAATAAAATAACCAAAGCTTTATCCAATATTATGCAACAATAAACGTTATGAAGAAACGAATGAAAAGCATGAACGATCGAAATGTTTCAACACGAATGGATGACCGAAAACAAATGATATTGTTCCAGATATTTTATCCAGACAATAAATAATGATAATAGAACTATTTTCGTTTCAATCTTGATGCGTTTTTGTTTATCTACCATTTATTTACTGCGTTTTAAAGAAGGAATTCTTTGGTAATAAATGCTTATTAATATAAATAATAAAAAATACATTTTGTTAGCTTTCCCCCGAGACTCCGCCCGCGCGGAATAAAAAAAACAAAAGCGAGAAGCCTATATGTTCTTAAAGACTATCTTCTACATCTATGCCAAATTTCATCGAGATCTCAGCCGTTTAGGCTACAAACTCTAACAAACATCCATCCATCCATCCACCGCATTTATAATATTAGTAAAAAGTATGATGTTACTCAGTGATAATGGATTTTAAGATTAGTAGATTTTTTTGAAGTCGGTGTATCTATATCTATACTATTATAATAAAGCGTAAACACACACTTTGTCGCCCAAGATGTCAGCAATTACACCATATTTTTGAATAATAATTTTTTTAATAAAAAGCCCTACACTTACGTCATGCTTTAGGCTATATATTTTCACGAGATAAACTTAGGGGTTAAATATTTTGGATAAAAAACCCTAATATGGGAAAGAGACCATAAGTTGCTGCCAACATCAAGAAAGAAAGGTTGCTAAGGTATGTCCTGTAATTTTGACATTTGCTATTGATAATTTGACAAATGTAAACAATAAAATAAAATTTTCACAATTTCATGCGGATGAAGCCGCACGGGAACAGCTAGTTAATTTTTAAATTGATTCGTTTTAAAACACACTTTCTTCTTATGATAAACTACGCGTGAAGTTGGGATATTTTAATGTTTCATTCGCTTATGAAATTACGCAAAATGTATCAACTATTTTAACCTTGTTGTTTGTATTACACAGTTGTTAGGTTTTAATTTCTAACAACAATGTAACACGCAAGCTCTGGTTCCACTGCGGGTGCCAGGCGGCGATCTCTGCTGCAAATATCTTAGAATTAATTTCAATAAATTTTTACCTGTACATTTTAGTTACTACATTTCACCAGTAAATTTCTGTATAAATTATTCCAAAAAGCAAATGATTATTACAGATTCATGAAATACTCAAGACAGTAATATAAGTACTCGAAAACAACGTGCATGTAGGAAGATGTATGAGTGTAGAAGCGAGAGATGTGTCAGGACCGCGCTAAATACGTCCGTAGTCTCTGCCTACCGCTCTGATTTACGGGTATGAAAATGTATGTTTTGTTAGAAAAATTGAATTATGCTCATTTATTAGCGAATGCTAGCAGTCATTTTGAAAATCAAATAACAGCTACATTGTTTCATAATTGTAGTCAAAACAAGTGTTATTTGCATTTATAATTAAAATCTAAAAATTAAAAATAAGTGTGATTTAAAATTTAAATCGCAACTTGGTAAGTTGTACAAAAACGCTCCACAAAAACAGAGCATGTAAATTCAATATTCATATTCAGTTTGAAACGCAAAAGGTTTGCTTGTGAAATTCAAATCAACAAGACACGCCAAAGGAATCCCTGCCGAGACATGTTTCATTCAGATATCTGTCCTGGATATGTGTGTGGTACAACGCCATCTATCTTTCTATCCTGAAATTATTAAATAGTAAGATTGTAAATACAAAGTGATGCTAAAAAAATTCAAGAGAAATATATTTTTAGATTCAAATTTAAAATTTCTGCCATATCCTTAATCGCCAAAGTTTGCGAAACAAATTCGCGAAAGTTTAAAAGAATGCAGTAGTTGCATTATTTGAAACTTCCAGCGTGCCACCGCGCGACATCGCAATTGTTTTCAAACTTTGTAATGCAATTTCAACGACTTTTTAAGATTTCAAAACAAAACACCTAAATAACTGGATCATTTCTCAAGATTAACTTCATACGAAAATAACAATTTAAATGATAAACGCTCAACTTTAAAATTTAATTTGAAATTTTAATAGCGCGATCTTGTAAATTGAGTTGCATTCCATGACAAAAACTCGGTACCGTATAAATTCGTTAGATGGCGCTGTATTAAATACGTTTACATAATGTAATTGTTTTGTCACATTATTTTCTTAAATACTCGTTACAGAAACGAAAATTTATTACGTCTAAAGCAGGATAAACATTAAAACCCTAAATAATTGCGGGAGCTTGCACACAATCAAATTAAACCGAAACTAATTGCCTGTCAAATTGATGCGCGGCTTGTTGCTAACTTCGTATAGCTCCTATCATGAGCTCCGCAATGACGTAGGTCTGCGGTTACGGTATCTGTACAGTAGACAAATGACAAAATTTTAATATGCATTTATTTTTATATTGGTCTTTATAAAAATGTAATTTACTTATTTGCCACAGATTAAATAGTGACAAAAATTATTTGCCACAGATTAAATAGTGACAAAAAACGTTCGAATTTCGAAAGTTGAAAATTATTTTCAAAATATAAAAATTAAAATTAGAATCACTTTTATAACTAATACTTTCGGTAATTATTTATTTATTGCTGGAATTTCAGTTATTCATAACTGAAGTTATTGTTTCGCTGCTAACTACCATAGTAATTACTCAATGTTTACATTTCAATACCTTTGTGTTTGGAACTAGAAGTTTGTGAATGTAAAAATGTTTTAAAACTGAAACATGCATGAATATAATATGCATAGAATTTAAAAGCAGAGTATACAAAGCTTCGTTCGCCATTTTAAGATTGCGTGTAGTCAGTTAATCTCGCGTTGGTACCCTTCCTTTGTACACACGACAAAGTACACGACACTAATCTTTTGTTTGCATTCATCGCACGTTTTCTACCGAGGAATAGATTCTTGAATATATTTTTCTAAAGAGAACCAGAAATGGACATCGTATAGGATAGTCACAGCTAGGTTTATCTAACCTGTCTGTTTAAAATAACTATAGGAATTTACTGTGTGATTTCT